TAACTCAGGCAATTGGAGTTTTCACCACTAGGATTTAGGTGTGTGCAACCTTCCCAGTCTCCTCCCCATTCAGGGCTCCACTCTACCAAGTACCTCCTATAAAGGAGGTAAGGGTAACGGAGTCATGGGGGGCAGGGCAGGACGCTCTGAGAAGGAGGCATTTGAGCAGGCACCTCACGAAGTTAAGGTCAGAACCATCATGATATCTGGGGGAAGAGGGTTCTAAGCAAAGGTAACAGCAAGTGCAAAGGTCCTGAGGTAGAAGTGTGCTTTGCATGTTTAAGGAACAGCAAGGAGACCAGGGTGGCTAAACTGAGGGAACTAGTGGTAGAAAATGATTCTGGAGAGGAGGCCAGATCATGTAGACGTTGTAGGATATGACGCAAGTTTTGGACTTTACTCCAAGTGGCATTAAAAGCCAGTCAGAGTTCTAAGCAGAAAAATTCCATGATAAGATTTACATTTAAAAGATCACACTAATGTGATGCACTGTTTGAATATACCTGCCAAAATCAGGGGTCTGCAGACTTCTCCAGTAAAGGATAAATCAGTAAATATTTTAGGCCTTGCAGGCCACACAGTCTCTGTCACAACTCTTCAACTCTGCCACAGTAGGGCAAAAGCAGCCAGACAATTTGTAAACAAATGGGCGTGGCTGTGTTCCAATAAAAATTTATTTATAAAAACAGGAGATCAGGTCAGAGTTTACCAACTTGGCTCCAGACCTAATTTCGGGTTTACGGGAAATACAGGCACATGGGAACAAAGTAAAAAGCACCTAATAGGAGTGTGCGACTTTCTCTAAGAGAGCTAGCCTGGCTCATAAAAAAAAAAAAAAAATCGATGTCCTGGAAGGAAAAAAAAGACAAAAGGGCTGAGTTGGATTAAAATAGGCCAAAGAGACAACATGTATCTTGAATGAATCCTGGTTTGAAACATAGCATTTTGAGGACAACTGGGTACATTCAAGTATGGCGTGGATACGAAGAGGATATTAGTCAATCTGGAGTGTAAACAATGATCTCAGGTGTGATAATGACGCCATGATTCTGTAGGTGAGAATCCTTATCTTAGGAAACGGCTGCTGAAGTGTTAGTGAGGAAAGTGTAGAAAGTATGAACAGAAATTCAAGAGTCAGCATAAAATACAGCCAGATGAGGCAAACACGGCAGATGCTGAGTTGCTGTACAGGGGATCTGGACGTCATTCATTACGCTATTATTTCAACTTTTCTGTAGTCTGAAACAAGGGGGTGGGGGTAGAGGAATCCCTCTAGCTGCCCTGGGGAGCACCGTCGGTGGAAGGCAGGAGAGGCTACTGGGAGCCCATGAGCAGGCCGCTGCATCATCTAGGCAAGGACCTGTCACCAGCGTGGCCTCTGACTGTCCTCCATCCCCACCCCGACTCCCTACCTCTCCCCAGGCTCAGAAGCAGCCTACTGCGTCAGGCCTATGTGGGGCAGGGCAGAGAGGACAGCCAAGAGAGCAGAATGGCCTCTCTCTTGCTGGATTTCTGGCTCACACCTCCCCTTGGGTAAAGGTCAGAAATCTGGAGTTTGGTCTCAGATCAGACCCAGGGGCAGATTTCTCTCCAGTGGCAGAGGAGTTGCCCTACCCCCCCTCCCCCCTCCCCCAAGTCTTAGGAAAGGGATTCTTCTCCACACTGAAGGGCATGATATCTTACTATAATGGAAACCAGAGCAGGTCTCGTCCCTATTAAAAAGCTTTGCCGGCTCCCCACTGCTCCTTTTCCAGGCTTGCAAGCTGTGTGCCAGGTACTGCTGAATCCAGGATTTCCTGTTGATTACCTCCCTGAATCTTTTAGCAATCCTGTGACGAACCCCAGTTGATTCATGGTTTGCCGAGCCCCGTGGAGATCTCCATCTAGAATCCAGGCCCTGGCTGAGCTCTCCAGTTTCAAGGCTTCCACTTCCCCTCTTCCAAGATTCCTGGCCCTTTCATTCATTGGTGATGCAGAACCCTCTGTGGTCCTGGGAAGATGAGCTCTCTCAATTCTTGGGCTTTGAATATGCTGGTCCCTTTTCCCGGAGTCACTTTCTCTTTCCTATCTCTGTGGTCAACTCCTACCCACTCTTCAAAACTCAGCCCAACACCCAGGTCCTATGCACTTACAGGTCTCAGTTTGCTTTCACTGGCAGTCCGTGTTTTGGCCCCCAGTTTTCAGCTGAGCAACACCTAGCTAGCTTGAGATGGTAATTCTGTTTCCCTTGGTGGGGCAAGTATATTTTCAACCTTAGGAAGGTAGGTAACCATAATTACAGTATAGATTGTGGCAACACATTTTGTGATATTGTTTTGTATATGGTCTAGAAATGTATTGTTCAAGAGGGCAGCCACTAGCCTTATGTGGCTGTTTAAATGTAAATTAATAAAATAAAATAAAAATTCCATTTCTCAGTCATACTAGCCACATTTCAAATGCTCCACAAGCACATGTGACTAGTGGATACCCTTTTAGACACCACGGATATTAAACATTACTATAATGGTAGAAAGTTCTCTTGGATGGCACTATTTTAGGGTTCTCCAGCAGGTCAGATGAATCCTCATCTCACAGACAAGCTAAAGGAGTGTTTCTCAAAGTCAGGTCCAAAGGGACAAAGTGGGGAAAAAATATTCACCACTCATTACAAAGGGTTAAGCTCCTTAATATATAAAGAGCTTTCAAAAATAAATAAGAAAAAGACCAACTACCTAATAGAAAAATAGACAAAGGATATGAACAGACAGTATAGAAACCGATATGGCCTTTGAACATATGAAAAGACACTCAAACTCACCCACAGAAAGAAAAGCCAAAACTACCCTGAGGTGCCATTTCCCACTGATCAGATTGGTAAAAAAATCCAACATTTGAAAACAAGGCTGTGAGAACGCTCTTAGACATGGCCTAATAGAGCCATTGCTCAAAATTACAAATGCATATTCCCTGTGACCCAGAAATCCTACATCTAAGAATTCATCTTACAGATTTACTTGCACATATGTCAAATGAAATAAGCACAAGGTATTGGGTTGGGCAAAAAGCTCATTTGGTTTTTCCATAAGATGGCTCTAGTAGTGCTTAGTTGTCTTTAATGTCATTTGAAACAATTTTGTTAGATTGTATTGTGACAGCTGTCACATCAGCATGCATTTTTAAAAATACTTATCAAAATTGGTGAATTTTTGTGTGGCCATTTTAATATTGAAGATGGAAGGAAAAAAGCAACATTTTTGGCATATCATGCTTTATTATTTCAAGAAAGGTAAAAACGCAACTGAAACACAAAAAAAGATTTTTGCAGCATATGGAGAACGTGCTGTGACTGACAGAACATGTCAAAAGTGGTTTGCAAAGTTTCGTGCTGGAGATTTCTTGCTGGACGACGCTCCACGCAAGGTCGGGTACACAAGTTGAAGTTGATAGCAATCAAATCGAGACATTAATTGAAAACAATCAAAGTTATACCAGGCGGGAGATAGCCGACAAACTCAAAATATCCATATCAAGAGCTGAAAATCATTTGCACCAGCTTGGTTATGTTAATCACTTTGATGTTTGGGTTCCACATAAGTTAAGCGAAAAAAAACCTTCTCGACCGTATTTCCACACGCTGTTCTCTACTGAAATGTAATGAAAACATTCTGTTTTTAGAACAAGCTGTGAGAACGTAAGAGATCATGGGGCAAGCGAAATGAACCACCACCAACCACACCAAAGGCCAGTCTTCATCCAAAGAAGGTGGTTATGTATATGGTGGGATTGGAAGGGAGTCCTCTATTATGAGCTCCTTCTGGAAAACCAAACGATTGATTACAACAAGTACTGCTCCCAATTAGACCAACTGAAAGCAGCACTTGAAGAAAAGCATCTGGAATGAGTCAACAGAAAACGCATAATCTTTCATCAGGATACCACAAGACCACATGTTTCTTTGATGATCAGGCAAAAACTGTTACAGCTTGGCTGGGAAGTTCTGATTCATCCGCCATATTCACCAGACATAACAACACCTTCGGATTTCTGTTTATTTTGGTCTTTATAAAATTCTCTTAATGTAAAAAATTTCAATTCCCTGGAAGACTGTAAAAGGCACCTGCAATAGTTCTTTGCTCAAAAAGATAAATTTTGGGAAGATGGAATTATGAAGTTGCCTGAAAAATGGCAGAAGGTAGTGGAACAAAATAGTGAATATGTTGTCCAGTAAAATAATTGGTGAAAATGAAAACTATGTCTTTAAGTTTTACCTAAAAACCAAAGGTACTTTTTGGCCAACCCAATACTTCACTGTGGCATTGTTTGGAAACAACTCCAGTCACCATTAATAAAGAACTGCTAAACAAACTTAGGGGCATACATGTGCAGCTATTAAAAAAAAAATGTAGCAGCAGTTCTCTATATATGGAAGCAGAAAGATTCCTCTAGATAACTTAAGTGAAAAAAGCAAGCTCAGAACAGTTTGCATACAATGGCACCTTTTGTGTAAAAAGATAAAACAAGGAGAGTAGAACCCAAAAGGATCTGAATGGATCTGTCCATGTGTGAAGAAGCTCTTCCCAGACACAGAAGAACAGCAGTTAACTCGGGGGTGAGAGCACATGAGGCAGAAATGAGAGCAAAGCTTTCACCAGACACTGCCTCTTACAATTTGTTTTGACCTAAGTAATTCTACATCATCTCTTCTAATTATTAAATAATCTTTTAAAAACTGATTCTCTGGGCAACCTGTCTCAAAATCAGTGAAGATGCTCATTAAAAATGCAGCCCCCTCTAGACAGGCAGAGGCCCAGCCCCAGTACTGTCAACAAGCTCCGCCCAGGATTCCCACGAACCCGCCCGTCTGAGGACGCAGAACCGGGTCAGTGGACTGAGAAGCCCTGCTCTTCCCAGCTCGCGGAAGGGCTGAGACGGTAAACTCCTAATCTGTCCGTCTGCGCCCCTTCTCACACTGGGCTTGGAAGCTCTCAAAGGGCGTCCTCGAGGAGGCCCAGACTCACCTCCCTCTGGCGAGTCCACGTGGATGGTCCTCTTGCTGACTGTGGTCCACTGCAGGCAGCGTATGACAAAAGGGTTGGGCACCGTCTCCTGGTCTTCATCAGGGACTTTCTGCGACAAAGAAGTTGTTGAGAGGGGGCAGGGCCTGGTCGGGGGCTCCGGCGCTCCTTCCATCCAGCGAGGAGCCGTCACTCCAGGTCTTTATGGATTCACTGCGCTCGTGGAAACAACCTTCTTTCACGACAGACACCTAGTCCACGGTGGCAGTGGGACATGTTGTCGCCTAGCTTGGGGCAGCTCAGGGCCGCCGGACCTGCAGAAGGCTTGGTGGAGAGAGCACAGTCTGTCGCCCGAGGCTGCCCAGAATACCCGGCTGAGATCTACTCCCGCCGGCACCGCTACCGTCACCCTGCGCTCGCTCCAGCTCTTCGTGTTTCCAGACGCACTGCCCCCTCCTGTCCAGGCCCCGGGCTCCAGCACCTTCTTAACACCATAACGTAGAAATAAATAGACTGGACTTCCTATTCTCATTGTGGATGAAGAAACAGAATTTTCTCAGGAAAATTACAGAGACTTGCCCAAGATCACAGGCTAATTTAAAGCAGAATTTTGCTTAAGAATTTAAGGCAGGATTCTTCTGAGAAGCAGAATCCAGGATTGCTAGTTTCTGACGCTGTGAGGCTTTCCTGTGCACTAAGCAACCTGCAGTCTTCCCGTACTTCAGTTAGGGCGGGGCTGCAGACTCCGCGGGAGCAGCCAACCCAGATGTATCCACAGCGAAGAACAGGACAGAGGGTTTGCGCATGCGCCACCCAGGCTCCAGAGTAGACTTCTGGTTGGCGGGATTTCAAACATCTTACCTACCGTTGATGTATACCCTTTCATTTATTCATCCGTTCATCCATTCATCATCATCATCATCCTCGCTACTAATATTGAACATCTATGTTGTGCTGGGATATGAAGTTATAAAGTCAACCAAGAGTTTCTGCTTTTAAGGATCTCAGAGTACAAAGGAAGAGATATATAAACAAATATTTGTATTATAAAATGGGGGATCTACTGGGATTCTGAAAGTACTGGGCCTTAAAGATGGACACCGTGCAGAGTTTGTATTGCCCCCCACCCCAACCCTCCCTGCCCCCAGCCAGCGATGCCAGACACGGAGACAACAGTCTTTTGCAGGGAGAAAAAGTCTTCATTGCAGGGCGGCCACGCAAGGAGACAGGAAGCAGAACTCTGAAATCTGTCTCCCAGATGGCAAGGTGAGGTGGATATTTAAAGATTGGGCTCTGGGGCCGTGAAGAAAAAGGGAGGGTGCTGTGCTTACAAAGGCCAAGGAAGTGCCAAGTTCCTATGCACAGGCCCAAGCAGGCTTCCTGCCTCTGCATGTGCAGATGCCAGGGAGTTGGTATGAAGCAAGAGGTGGCAATTTGGGCTGTGATATTGTTACTGATCAGGGTTCTTGGCCTCCTTAATCAATAGAAATTGATCAGACGCCAGACAAGAAATTCAGGCAGGACTTTATTGGGGCCCCTGCGGCAGCAGAGGGGGAGCCAGAGCAAACAACAGGTTCCCGCACTTGCTTGCCTGCTTGTGGTGGGGGGAGGGGAGGGCCGAGAGCTGGTTCCTTATATGGGGTTAGGGTAGGGGTGTGTTCAGGGGTCGGGCTGGAGGGGTGGCCTAGGTGTTTTGCCCACCTCTTAGGTGGTGTTTTGTGCTTCGGGCACTCTCAGTACCCTGCTTTTGCTCCCGACCCCCTGCTTTTGCTCCCTGCTCTTCAGAAGTGGCTGTTGGTGTTTTTTGGTCTTTTTGTATCTTGTTGTCCATAATTTGGCCCAGCTGCACATGCACAAAGGATATAATTATTATTGTCTCACATGCTTGGTGAGACAAAGCTTAGTAATACTAGGAACTAAAACATTCTCATAATTAGAACTTGCTCATCAAGTTTAGTCCCTTATAGTTTCTTTGTATTTTGTTGCTTGAGGAGACGCTTGTCCAGGTGCAAGCACAGCTGCAAAGTATCCCACGTCCCAGGCCCTAGGTCCCAGCCTGTCTCAATATCAAAGGGTCACCAATCGGACAAGCAGGTTTATTCTGCCCAAAGTTTGATCAGCCATCTTGGCTCCAGCTGGTTTCAGCCAGTCTTGTTGTGTTAGACGCAGAGGGGATTTCAACAAGTTGTTTCTTTATCTGCTGTTCTGTAAGGCAAGCTCAAGAATTTGTGTTCGTTACCAATTTTTTTCTTTTAACCCTATGGGGCAGGCTCTCACTTGTGGGGAGGGTGAGTGTGATGTAGGGAAGGCTTTAAGGGGGAGAGGTCACCTGAAGAATATGTAATTTGGGATGAGGAAGAAGAAAGGATTTTTCAGAGGGGAGGCATGTAGGAAGGCACAGAGTTACTGAACATGCTGGTGTATTTGGAAAAATGCATGTGTATCCAAATGACTGGAATATAAAGTGTGAGGAAAGAAGTGTAGATGTCGAATTATATATAGGATAAACAACAAGGTCCTACTGTATAGCACAGGGAACAAGATTCAATATATTGTGATAAACCATAATGGAAAAGAATATGAAAAAGTGTCTGTATGTGTATAACTGAGTCATTTTGCTGTACAGAGGTTGGCACAGCATTGTAAATCAACTATAACTCAATTAAAAAAAAAAAAGAAGTGTAGAAGTCGAGGTGGAGAAGGGTAGGGGAGAGAGAGTTCACCGCCAGAACAGATCTCATAGCAAGAGGGAACCCAGGAGGAGGAGAGCTGATTTTAGAAAGTAGGAAATATGGCAATATTTCTGTGTGTGTGTGTGTGTGTGTGTGTGTGTGTGTGTGTGTGTGTGATGTTAGAGCACTAGATTCTGAGAACGGAAATAGAGGGAAGAAAAAAGGGTCTCAGACTTATCTGGAGTAGAAAGATAAGTTGCTGGGTTTTTCAAGTTTCTTAGGTCCTTTTACACTAACTGCTCTCCTGTCTCTTTAATGCTCTTCCTTTAAAGAAAGTTTTAAAGCAATGTCACTCCATAGGGAAAACAAAACAAGGGAAAGAAGTATATATGTCACTGCCACTGATCAGTACACGTCACTGATGATCTTGTTCTATGATTACTTTTCAGGTAACAAGTTTGTGTATTTTTTTTCCTGTCTTGTTTTTATATCTGTTGCTAGAAAATTCAAAGTGAGAGAAAAGAATCCTCAATAATCTACCACTATGAGAGCAACTAATCACTTGCTTCCAAAAAAAAAAAAGGGAAAGAGGTAGGGTACAGAGGACCTAGAAGAAATCAGTGGGATCAACCGCTCACCCTTCTGTTTGTCCACTCTCTGTCTCATTGTGGGTCTTCTCAAGGTCCTTTAGAGTGGATATAACTCATAATGGGTGTGATATTACTATTAATTTTTAGACAATGATTTTACCATATGGAACTCCCTTCTCTACTTGACGTTCTTAAAGGAGAAGCTAACTGGTCAGATTTCAGTGAATCCTTTAAATAAGCAGGGGGTGCACTGCAGCAGTGCTGCCTCTCCAGGGTTCACCTTCCACCTTGTCATCACAGGTAGGGGGGCCTGCTCTTCACCGGCTTAGGTCCCCATGTAGGGACATCAGAAACCCAGGCTTTATCCTTATAAGCTTCATTACTTCTAAAACCTACTCATCAAAACAAGGCTATAATTATTATTGTCTCACATGCTTGGTGAGACAAAGCTTAGTAATACTAGGAACTAAAACATTCTTATAATTAGAACTTGCTGATCAGAATGCGTTTATTATGTTTACCTTCTTATTCTAGTATATGCCATGCATCAAAAACTTGACATTAGGGCTTCCCTGGTGGCGCAGTGGTTGAGAGTCCGCCTGCCGGTGCAGGGGACATGGGTTTGTGTCCCGGTTCCGGGAAGATCCCACATGCCGCGGAGCGGCTGGGCCCGTGAGCCATGGCCGCTGAGCCTGCGCGTCCAGAGACTGTTCTCCGCAATGGGAGAGGCCACAACAGTGAGAGGCCTGCGTACCGCAAAAAAAAAAACCCAAAAAACAAAAAAGAAACTTGACTTCGTTCTCTTTTCTTTATCTCTGAAATGGAAATATATACAAGAAATTTTCAAAAGGAATTAGTATAGATTTATATCATACTTTAAAGAAGTTATTATACAATAAGCATTTTTCATGCTTTTATCTATAAAGATATAGGGGCTTATATATATATATATATATATTTATTTATATATATATATCCCTTCATAATTTACTCTATTTACTATTGTTTTCCACTATATGTACTTCATTTGGCTTTTAACTTTTCACTATTATGAATAAACCTTTATATGCAAGTAGCTTTTTCCATAGTTAATTTTCTTAGCTTTGAGTCCAAGGAAACAAATAATGAACCTAAGTATGTAGTAGTTAGGAGCACAGGTTTTGGAGCCAAACAGACCAAATGCCAAATTCCAACTCTGACATTTACCTGTGACACAATTTATTTTTATTGTTGTCTTGGCATTTTCTTCTGAAGTATTGGGGTAATGCTACTTAACTCACAAATTTGGTTGTGATAAGCAAAATAATGCTTCTCTATAGCAGTTGAAACAGTGCCTGGAATAAGTAAGTGCTTTGTTATTGTCTACATTTTAATTATTGTCTACTAGATTACAAAAATGTTTCTCAAATGTTTTTAGTAATATGGAATGACACTAACAAAGTGTGAGAGCACCAACCTGCTTTGCATATTTTTCTCTCTGTAAATGTTATAGGAAGTTTCTAATTTACTTTTTACTTTCAATTTACAAATCTAAGAAATGAAGATACCAGAGCCTAAGTAATCCTTACATTTGGAGGTATGAAGCATCTCTAATTAGAGTAACTATTACACATTATGTGTAAATATTTAACTGACACAAAAGCTCTCTGTCGGAAGACCTATCTCTTCTGTTATAGAGATAAAAAGATATTCTCACTTTTGTTTTTCTTTAATTGTAAACATATCAGAGAGGAATGAAGCAGCATAGAAATAGCAACCTTTTTTTTTTAACACTGCTGTGTATATGCCAGAATTTTTGCTAGACATTTGAATCATATTTTTCCTAATGCCATAATGATCCCTATTGTATTATTTACATTTCTCAGATCACTGTATGTAATTGTGATTTATTTGCCACGTTCCCTTCTAGGACAAAGGCATGATAGAATGAGGACAACTGTGGGAAAAGGGATAGGACTGAAGGGGCAGAGAAGCTACCAGTGATAACCTGTGATGATCAGTTCTGTCCTGTAATCATCTTATCCCAAAGCCCCATAACTTCTTGTTCTGATTGTGCCCATTAGGCAAAGCAGCCATTTTCCCCCATGGAAACAGTGGGCAGGAAACCTGCCTCTGAGACCACACAGTCTGTCATTGGAAAAGCTACAGGCAGTCCTTTCCACTCACTCTGCCCAAACCCCTTCCCAGAGTTGAGGCAGAACAGTGACATAAGGTCCCTTAAATTATCCAGTAGGAAGAAGCCTAGATACCTTTGTTCTAATGCACACTGTTGCAGGCACTGACTATGAAGCTCACTTCCTTTGGCTAAAAGTACGTGACTCCGGAGCACAAGCTAATTAGTGTTATGCCAATATTGCTTTTCTTTGCCACTGAGGAGATTGATTAGGTATGTATCCTGTTTTTATTTAAGCTGTACAGCTTTTCCATTCATAACTCTAGGGGAAAACCATTGCTGTAGCAAATGCAAAGACCCAGGGCAATGCAGACTCTGGGTGCTGATTTGGGGTTTCTACTGCTGTTACCAGCCAGAGCCAGAACCGAGCTCAAGGTCAGCTGCTCATCGCTCAAAAGTCAATGTTTGAGAGACAAGGGTTGGTGGAAGAAGAAAGATGCTTTCTTCAGGAAGCCGCCAACCTGGGATGATGGCAGACTGTTGTCGCCCAAAGCATCTCCCTCTTGTTGGTTAGAGGGAAAGGGTTGTATAGGGAAAAGCCAGGAAGTTTCAGGGGTGTGCAGGCAGGGGCCATGTGCAGAACAGCACAGTCAGCTCCGACAGTCATTTTGAAGCTGGTCATGTGGTGGTCTGGTCAGCGTCATCTTGATTGTTTAAAGCACAGTTAGTCTTCAACTCCAGGATCTCCTTGTTCCCATTTCCTTGAGGCCAGTTCCTGGAATTGTGCAAGCCATAGATTCAGTACTGCTCAAGATGCAGCAGCTTACATTATGGCTATAGTCTGGTCATCTGGCCAGCTTTTTCCCTCTGGTGGTGGTTATAGTATCTGCA